AGGAGCAGCCCCAGGACCAGAGATAGCGGCAGGACTGCGAGCGGAACGACGGCGAAGACAATCGTGAAGAAATTGACGCTCTTGCCGACGAGGCTCTCCCCACGGGTCACCGCGACCCTCCTCAGCACGCGGACCAGGGCTCCGAGAGCCGGCAGCTGCAGGCACACCCCGACCATCCACCCCAGCGTGAGCCCCAGCCCCACGAACGCGAGCAGCAAGACAATGATCTTCCCCTCCGCCGTCTCCGGGTGCTCCTCCCACGAGGTCAGTGACGGGGTGTGGCTCAGGATCCCGAGGCACCACAGGAGGCTGCGCTTGTAGGGCCTGCCCTCTGCGAGCGCAAGGAGAGCTGCGACCCCAGCAGACACCGACAGGCATGCCAGCGGCCAGAGGGCAACTACGAAGAGGCACATAGTCATGAAGCTTTCAAGCATGGGGCATCGATGTCCCAGCACGGCCGAGTGCATGGCGTGCAAAAACGCGTGAGTCCCCTCGCAGAACGGCAGGAGCCCAACGATAGCCAGCCCCCAGCCGAGCAGGCCGAACGAGAAGGCCGACACTATGATGTCAAAGACCGTGCCGCGAGTGGTGGTGGGCACGACATCCGTGAGGGGAATGAGCACCAGGTTGCCCCCGACGTAGGCGATGCCGTCGAGGACCTCCCAGCCCTCCACGACGGCCAGGAGGGTGCCCATGGCCGCGGACACGGCCAGGAGCAGCGCGGGCAGGGCGACCAGCAGGCACAGGGCGTGGAAGACGGCGTGGACGGCCGCGAGCCTGGCCGGCCTGGCCCCCGCGCGGGAGGCCGCCGCCGCCGCGGGCCCGGGCCGCTCGGATCGCTCGGAGACCTTTGCCCCGCCGCCGCCGCCGCTCGGCTCCAGGAGCGCCCGCAGCCCGGCCACGCCCAGCGCCAGCTCGCGCAGCGAGGCCCCGTGCTGCTCCAGCTGCGCGCGCAGGCGGCCCTCGCTGCCCGCCTGGTCCAGCGCGCGCTGGGCCAGCCGCTCCAGCAGGCCGTGGAGCGAGCCCACGTCCGAGCGCATGCCCGCGACCTCCCGCTCCAGCGGCCCCTGCGGCTCGGGCGCCTGCGCGGCGCCGGGCGGCTCCGCGCCGCCGCCCGGCCCCGGCGGCCCCCTGTCGGCCAGGGAGACGCTGCAGGCGCCCCCCCACAGGGCCTCAGGCCACCAGGCCCCTCCGCTCGCCGCCGCCTTCGCGTCGGGGAGGGAAGGAGGGGAGGAGGACAGGGAGGAGGAGGAGGAGGAGGAGGAGGAGGAGGAGGAGGAGGAGGAGGAGGAGGAGGAGGAGGAGGAGGAGGAGGAGGAGGAGGAGGAGGAGTGGACCAGTGCAAACCCAAGACCCGTCAACGATATTGCAAAAACCCTCCCTCCAAATTCCCTCTTCATGGGCCCCTGCAAGGATTCAACTGTACTGAAGGAAACGCCCTGTTGGAAAACAACCGTTTGTAAATCCAGGACCGTGTCAGAAAACCATTCCTGGGACTGCAACGCTACCAGTCACCGTTACTCTTGCGTCTTGACGATCTTGAATCGTGCCAGAACGCCCTGCCTGGTACTTCAACGCCACGAATCAAAATAACTGTTGCGCCATGAAGGCCCTGAATCGCTCCAAAACGCTATTTTTGGTACGTTCAACCTGGGAACCAGGTAAACTCTTGCGAATATTTAAGACGAGTGCGCTCGGCGCTAAGGCTGGAGCCACAGTTTGAAAATGAACCGCCTTCAATCCACGAAAGTATGCCTACGTTTTGCAACGAGTGAGCGCGGCGCTGCAGCGAGAGCCACATGTTGAAAACCAGCCAGCCTCAATGTTGGAAAATGCTGCAAATACTTAAGACGAGTGTGCGCGGCGTTCAAGCGAGAAACACGTGTTGAAAACAACCCGCTCTCAATGTGTAATACTGTTGCACATGTTTAAAAGTAATGTGCGCGGCATCAAGGCGAGAGCCACATTTTGAAGACGACCCGCCCTCATCCCGTGAAGCTTTCACATTGTTTAAACGAATGTGCGCAGCGCTGAAGCGAGAGCCGCGGTCTGGAAGCCACCCGCCCTCCATATGTGAGACTGTTGCCAACTTTCACGCATCAAGATCATGAATGGTAAGAGGGTTTCAGGCGAAACGCCCGGCCCGCCTTTTCGACTGGCCTCGGGGTGCGACAGGGAAGAACCATGTGAAGGAAAACGAATCGGGAGGCGTTGTGGCGCATGCAGGGGCGAAGCCAAGCGCCATACCCCTGGCCTCGCCCGCCACAGGACGCCGGGGCTGCTGCCGCGACATGGCCAGCAGCAGCTCGCTCCGGTGCGCCGCCAGCATCTCGCCGACCCGCGCCTCGTGCCTGCGCAGGGCGTCCTGGAAGTCGGAGAGCTCCATGCCGCCGGGCCTGCCGCCGCCAGAGCTGCTGCCGCCGGGGCAGGACATCGCACGGGCGGCGGGCCTCGAGGCTGCACTCCCCTGCGCCAAAGCCGACAGAGGGAGCAGGAGGAGGAGGAGGAGGAGGAGGAGGCAAGGGTCAAACATCGTCATCGTCCTGATGGCTTCACCTGCACACCTACCACAGTGGTCAAGCACCACGCGCGAGCACTCACGAGGTATCAGACCGTCGAAGGCACGTCGCCGCGCCTCGGCTCAAACGCGTACTCCGCCTCCGCAGCCGCGCGATCCGATATCACCACCAGCATGGCGGTCACGACCAAAGACCACGTGCCCAAATACGTGGACGGCATCATCCACTACCAGCCCATGCAGCAACAATGTGAGAACGCCCCCTGGGCGGCCTGGACACGTAACATCATCGACCCGCGAACACAGAAAAGAAATTTAGAAACGCGAGGTATGGCTACGTTTTGAACACACCTGATTGGGCGACAAGCAAATGAAATGCTGAAGGTATCGACCGTGATATACCGCGTCAAATATTAAGCTGTGCTGTGCCGTGCTGACATAAGATGCGTCATTGCGCGATGGGTTGCGTTGGGCTCTATAGTGTTGTGGATTAAAGCGCCCTTGGCATCCGAATCCTGACCGAACTGATCTGGACCTTGAGCTCGAGCTCTCTGAGCGCATAGCAGGCCCAGAGCTGATTGCAGTCGAAACGTGTGGGACGCTCACGCAACTCGAGCTCGAGAGCCGATTCAGTTCCGAAGCGGGACGAGACGACACGGGGCGCAGGGCGCATGGACGCGCCACGGAATGTACCAGGGGACGTGTCAGGGGACATGCCAGGAGACGTGGCAAGGGACGCGCCACTGAACGGGCAGGGAAAGCGCCAGGGGACAAGCCGGGGCACGCGACAGAGGAAACGTTTAGGGACGCGCTGAAAGGGAAGGGGCATACGCGTTCCCGCTCTGGGGCGTTAGGAACCATGTGCTTTCACGCTTGTCCCGCTCTGGTGCGTTAGGAACCCGTGCGTTTTCACGCTTGTCCCTTTCTGGGACGTTAAGGACCCACGTGGTTGTACGCTTGTCCCACTCTGGAGCGTTAGGAACATACGTCTTCTCACGCTTGCCCGCCCTGGGGCGTGAGGAACCCACGTGTTTTCACCCTTGTCCCGCTGTTGGGCGTTAGGAACCCATGTGGTTTTACGTTTGTCCCATTCTGTGGCGTTAGGGACAATGTTTTTTCACGTTTGTCCCGCTATGGGGCGTGAGGGACCCACGTGTGTTCACGCCTGTCCCTCTCGGGGCGTTGAAGCCGAAGTGTTTTCACGCTTGTCCCGCTCTGAGGCATTAGGAACTCACGCGTTCTCACGCTTGTCGTGCTCTGGGGCGTTAGGAATCCACGTGTGTTCACGCTTGTCCTGCCCTTGGGCGTTAGGGACCCATGTGATTTCACGCTTGTTCTGCTGTGGCATTATGAGCCATGTGTTTTCACACTTGTCCGGCTCCTGGGCGTTAGGAACCCATGTGGTTTCACGCTTGTCCCGCTTTGGGTGTCTGAGCCCACGTGTTTTCACGCGTGTCGAGCTCTGGGGCGTTAGGAAACCATGTGTTTTCACCCTTGTCCCACTCTGAGGCATTAGGAACCCATGTGTGTTCCCGCTTGTCCCGCTCTGATGCGTTAGAAACCTATTTGATTTCACGCTTGTCCTGGTCTTGGGCGTCAGGAATCCACGTGTGTTCACGCTTGTCCTGCCCTTGGGCGTCAGAAGCCCGGGTGTGTTCACGACCCATGCGTTTCACGCCTGTCCCGATCTGGGTTGTGAGGAACCCAAATGTTTTCACGCTTGTCCCGCCGTGGCCCAAGAGATTTCACGCGTGTCGAGCTCTGGGGCGTTCGGGAAACCACGTGTTTTCACGCTTGTCCCGCCCTGGGGCGTTAGGAATCCATGTGTTGTCACGCTCGTCCCTTTCTAGGGCGTTAGGAGCCCACGTGTATTCACGTTTGTTCCACTCTGTGGCGCTTGGAACCCACATGTTTTCACGCATGTCCTGCTCTGAGGCGTTAAAAACCTGAATGTTTTCAGGCTTGTCCCGCTCTGGGGCGTTAGAAACCATGTGGTTTCACGCTTAGCCCGCTCGGAAGCATTGTGAATCCATGTGTTGTCAAGGTTGTCCCATTCTGGGGCGTTAGAAAACCCTGCCCAAATGCCCTTTTCGGGACCACAGAAAGGAGAGATCCCCTTCCTTCCCTTCCGAATCTGGCTACGGATCCCGTTCCTCCTCCTCCTCCTCCTTCTCCTCCTCCTTCTTACGCTAGACCAACCTGAGCAAGAATCTGTGGCGTTAATCCTCCCCCTCCTCCTCCTCCACTCCTCCTCCTCCTCCTCCTCCTCCTCCTCCTCCTCCTCCTCCTCCTCCTCCTCCTCCTCCTCCTCCTCTTCCTCTTTTTACGTTAAACCAACCTTAGGTAGTACCTGTGGCGTTCTTGAAAATAACACACCACAAACGTACGCGATTCGACTCGGAAAAAAAGGACCTGGCGGGCGCCGCGGGCAATGTTGGAGAACGAGGCCATGAACAGAATAGTCATGCAAGTAGGCGCCCGCCAAGTTCTGGTAGACGGCATTGGCCCCAACAGGGAAAACATCCGATAAACCGAAGAGATAAACCGTAGATAAGCCCAGCAAGTTCAATTGGTAGCGCCGTCTTGGCTGGAAAAGGAGCAGCTGCAGTACCTTGGTAGATGATCGCCACCTCCCTCTTCACAGAATCCCTCCCCCGAGATACTCTGGCACCAGCTGCCTCGGGTACAGGTGCAAGTGCTATGCAATGTGAAAGAAGCTGAGAATAAAAAAGTGGCGTCTTGCGACTGCCAAAAGAGTGTAGCTGAGCAAGGTCTTGTTGAGCAAAGCGAGCGCATGGCGATCAGCAGCCCACTGTAGGGCTGGCATCCCTCCGCGAAAGGTCAGAAGGCTTAAATGGTCAGTGCACCCTTCCCCTCCACAAATTGGTACCAGTATGGCCATTCTAAGGGTACAGGCAGCTAACGCAAAGTGCGGCTAACAAATAGTGTTGCCTCAAGGGACGGTATGCAGAATGTGCTCCACAGCGCGCGCGTGGTAAGATTGCTCCTCACGTATTCACGGTTGTGGAGCGAACAAAAGCCAGCCTGCATGCACTTCTCCTCCAACGCCAGCCCTGTAGATGATGGCCGTAAGCGGTATAGGCTACATGTGGCCGAACAGAAAAATAGACACAGCCTGTGCAGGGCTTGGTGAGTGCACTGGGTAGGGATGCCTCTGTAAAGAAAAACCTTCGCGCGCAGAATGTAGCGCGGCCTGCACGGAGTCTTAGCCTGACTAGGCACAAGTACTCCCACACCACCCAGCCCATCCATTTTTCATATAGGTGCCTTCTGGTGGTACAGTAAGCAGTCAGCCGAGGAGGAAATGCCTGTAAAGAGTGTGCCCGTGCTATCTTGCGTGAGTGCTCTGATCATACGAGAGCTGCTACCCTTGGTAAAGAACACGCCTTCGTAGGCCAGGTACGGCACAAGGTTCCCTCTTTGCCAGCAGCAGGTCCGCTCTTTTAGCCGTCAGGAGTAAGAGGGGGGGGGAGGTGAGCGAGGTGAAATAAACTCGGTTGAGTATGCTACTGGCCTGTGCAAGCTGGCCTGTAGGTCTAAGCGTACGAGGCATAGTGGGCCAGGCACAAAATACTGTGAGTGGGGGTTATGTAGGCTGGCCTATGTAGGCTGGTCGGATGAACTGTGAGGCACATGGTAGGGCAGTACATGCGATGGTTCAATGGCGCAGAAACACAGCCTGTAAACACAAGCTAGGCTTGTGCGCTGGGTGACGGACTTCCTGTACACGTGTCCTATCGCGTACGGTAAAACATACCAGTCCCCCTCCGACAAACCTTCAACAACCTCCACCACCATGGCCCCCGTCAAATTCGGTAGAAGTGCCGTCTGGTGGCACAGTACCTGACAGCAAATGAGAAGAGCTGGCTGTAGCAGCTTGCGGTACAGGCTAGATGTTGCACAATAAAAAAAGACACAGCCTGTGCAGATACAGGCTTGGCGTGCGAATTGTTTAGCGAGGTACCTGTAAAGAACGTGCCCGTGCTGTGAGGAAGGGGTTTTCGGGTTGACCCCAAACCGTCGAAAGCTGGAAGGGAGGGACCACCAGCATGTCAAGAGAACGGCAGGGTGTGGGCAGCGCCAGTATGAGGCAGGATGAATAGGATGGGAAGCGGCCGCGGTGTGTATGCACTGTTTGGACTGAGCAACTACCAGATCGTGATGATGAAAGAAGAACGGTCTCAGTGGAAGTTGCTCTGCGGTAACTGAAGAGCAGCGGGTACTTGTGGTGGAAGTCGTGGTATGCTGCTGTCGATGAGTACTTATCCTCCTCCTCCTCCTCCTCCTCCTTCTCCTGTTCTTCTTCTTATTCTAAATGTCATGCATCAGTTTCTTTTTAGTATTGTCATTGTTCTTATTTGTGATAATATTCGTACTCGTATACTAATAATTATTCGCATTCGTATTATTAGAGAGAGCATGATCCACCGCCGCTTCACTATGGAAAATTCCCCCCCCCCCCCCCCCCCCCCCCCCTCTTCCTCCGGAACCTGGGGGTCCCCCCCCTCGAAAATCCCCACCCCCCTGCTGGAACCTCCCCCCCCTTCCCCCGGCAAAACCCCCCCCCACCTCCCCTCCAAAAAACCGGGGGGGGTCACTACCGGTTCGACCCCCCCCCTGGAAAACCGAAGGGGGTCACTACCAGTTCGACCCCCCCCCCAGAAAACCAGAGGAAGGTTACTACCGACTCGACCCCCCCACCCCCTGGCCAAAAACCGGGGGGGGGGTCACTACCGGTTCGAACCCCCTCTCGAAATCCGGGAGGGGGTCACTACCGATTCGAACCCCCCCCCTTCTCCTCGAAAACTGGGGGGGGGGTCACTACCGGTTCGAACCCCTCCCCCCCCCTCACCGCCAGCAAACGACTCCCGGTCCCTACAACCTTTCCGCACCACATCCCCCACTGCTGTTCCCAGCACCATTGTCGTCACCACCACTGTCCCCACTGGTTCCACCACCGT